GTACCATAAGTATATTGTAGGTTATTATGGGCTTAAATGAGATCCCGTGTATGAAGTACTTATAAAGTACTTGGAATCAAGTAAGTAGAAGATGAATAATATTATTTGGTTATGGTGGAGTTGGCAATGGTGAATGTAGATGTGGTACAAGAAGAGAAGGCAGAGGAGAGGGAGTGGAAGAAAATTGCTATTTGGGGACCATACCTAGCACGTAAGGCTATAAGCAGAGGTGCTCCATAAAAATGCAAGATACGAATCCATTTCTGGAATGCCTTTAAATATGTGCATTAGAAATCTGTTATTTTCTCCATTTTGAGATTCATTCATAGTCAGAAGTTGAGTTATTAACATTCAGAAATATGACATTGAGACCAGGCTACTTATTACTGAATTTATAAATGGCAAAGATTATAATTTGTGACCACATTTGCTCTGTAGAAACTACAGGTGCTGCCATTTCAGCTGCTGTTGTGCAATCCTTACTGTGAGGAGTCCAGAGAGACTCTTATTCCAGTGCCTTCCTGATGTATGACAACCTATGATTTGCCCTCTTAATGAAATCTGAAGCACCTCATTGCCTCTATATAGGGACAGCCTGTGGACAGATTTAGAGCAGAGCTTTGGGAAGTGTCTTATATGTGTGTACTCGCCTGAGAATGATTTTACAGCTGCTGTTATGACCACTACTGTGGGTTGGATGTGAATGCCATAATTCAGAGTCCCTATTGTTTCATTTTTGAGTGCAGTGATGTTGAAATTCCTCTTCTGTACCTGAACTGCTATAGCAGTCTGTCTAGCTAATGTGCTCAACTTGTTTCTCTTTTCTAAGAAAAGAGCACCTTCTCTTATTTTCCTTGTTCATCAGCCACTTAAAAAAGCATCCCGACTGGTTCTTTTCTACCCTCTCCGCTCAACCCCACCAAAGCTCCCAGGCACACTCTTACTTCTTAACTAAGTTGCAGATGCACAGAAGATACACACTAAGTATGTGGCCAAAAAGATGAGGAAAAAATGACATTAGGAAAACCTGATGAGTTTGTTTTGGTTTTAGAGATTATTTGAAGCAAACTGCTAAACATCCAGGTGAACTCAGAGCTGGCCAAAGTTCTGAAGGTTCAGTGAAAAAATGTTAATCCTGCATAGCTATGAAACAGTAAATAAATTTAGCAATTTGGGGGACTGTCATAAGAAACAGCCCTTTATAACTAAAAAGGCCAGCAGTTTTCAGAATTTGTGAGTCTGTTCAACCCTTGCTACTCTAATATGATTTTTGCGTGAGCAGCACCAGCATCATCCAGAAGATAGTTTGCAGTACAGAAACCTCAGGGCCGACTGCAGACCTGCTGAATCGTGATGTGCATTTAACAGGATCCTCAAGTGTTGCATGTGCACATTAAAGTTTTGAGAACAACTGTGTTAACCACTTAGAACATTTGACATTCTAAGAAAATTATAGAGCTTGGGCTGTAGAGTGACAAAATGTGGGATGAAAGCCTAGCTCATTAGATATTGAAATCACCGAATGAGACTTACCAAGCTCTGTTTTCTACAAATGTGAATTAGGAATATGAGCCCTTCCCACTTCACTGGGCTGTTGTGAAATAATGCAGTTAAAGAACCTTCAATAAAATGTCAATTAGCATAATTATATTTGTAATAATTATTAATATATTCATTATAGAATATAAAACATCACAAGTAATATTTTGTTTAGGCAGAGTCTTACTCTCTCACCAGGTGGGAGGGCAGCAATTAAATCTCAACTATTTTCTATGTTTCTATATTCAAGGGAATGTTGTAATTGATAAATCAGTGAACTTACCCTTCTGCATTTGAGGAATGGTATGATATAGTGGTTGATAGGATTAACTTAGAATTCAAGCAAAGTTCAGTGCTCAATTGTATAACCTTGGCCAGATGACTTAACCTTTTTGTGCCTCAGTTTTTTTTTATGCATAAAATAGGGGAAGTAATAGAAACTTCATACTGTTGTTGGGAGGATTAATTGACTTAATACATGTGAAACATTTCAGTGCCTGGCATGTAGCAGGTGCTATATACATGGTATAACACAGAATAATACAGGCATGGTCTTTGCTTTCATGGAATGCACAGTATTGTGGAAGTAATAGGCAGTTACAATAGAGTGATAATAATTATAATAGAGGGAATGGTAAGCTACCGGAGAGAGTAGAAGGGCCACCTAATTTAGACTTGATGTTATGGGGTTACGATGTTGGTGTGGGAGTAATTTTTTCCCTCTGAGGAAGGAAGGTCACAGCTGACACTGATGAATAATGTGCTTCTACCTACAGGTAGTCAGTGTACTCTTATCTGTTACCAAGGATCATTTAAATTATGAGGAAATGTTATTAGTCTCTGAAAGGGACCTGGTGGTGAAATAATCTTGAAATTACTTGTACTCATAACATAGATAGTAAGCAAAATATTGGAATACAGTCACAGAAAGTGAATGTATTTGAGTAATTGAAAGCTTTCAAGCTTGTTGGATTGATCTTGGACCTCAGTCAATATATCCGTTGTTTTTTTAGAACACTTTGGTGTTTGTGTATGAATCTAATGAATTTTCATAAATATTCCAAACAGCACAAATAGACTTTACATGAATATTTTTAAAAGATCAATTTCTTCTTATATGCTTAGAATTTATACAATATAAGCATTCCAATGTTTCAGTGAATGGCAAGATTGAAATACAGAATATATAGGTAGGGTCTTTTATTATATTATTAGTATTAGTCTTTGCTAGTTGAAACGAGGAACTGCAGAGAGATAGTAAGAATTAGCAGTCATTGTTAGTCTACCAATTTGTTTAAGAAAATGTAATATAAATGTATTTGTGTGGAATATTGTTAAAATCAGTTTCAAATATCAACCTTGTTATTTTAGGCACGCTTAGATTTTTTTAGAAAATAAAACCTGTCTAACACAAAAATTCATGTAACCATTTGACCTCTTTTCCACCTCTAACTTCTTTGTTGTTTCCTTCTGTTGTATGTCAATTTCTTTTCCTGAAAAACGAGCTAAGACTAGTATTCTGCACCAATTGGTTTGATTACATATGGTTTATCATGTGATCTGACTTTTTTAAATAAGACACTTAAAAATAAGAGCATTGTTGTTTTATATTTATAGGTGTTTAATAAAATGGAATGAGCTCCAATTCCTGGATATTATTAAAATGATATCTTTATATAACATTTCATTAAACATTCCATCACAAACAGATTTGCATGTTTTTTCAATATCTGTATCTTAACAGTATAACCTAAATATCTATTTCAATCATCCCCTCATCCTCAAAAACTGAGAATGAAAGAGGGAGGCACTTCTGGTTGATTAAACTTAAGATAAATATGACTTGACCAGAATTACACCGTTACCAAACTTGGTACACATTTGGATGGAGGTCTTTTAATTCTAAGCTCAGTTCTTTTTTATTCTATACCATTTTGTAGCATTCGTCCTTAATTTAGTTTTGTGTTCTTAAAAATAAGACTGTAATCAAGCATTAATTAGTACTAGAGCAGTCATATAAAGATTCATATCATAATGTGACTTCCAAGTGGAATATTAGCAAACACTAGTGCCTTGTAAAATACTTACATGACAAATGGGTTTATTTTCCTACAACTCCTAAAAAGTAGCTTGATTTTCTATTAGAACTTAGTTTATTCTGATCATTATGGGAAGCTATAGGTATGTTGGTTAAGAGCAGAGACTCTGAAATCAGTTCAAATCCATGCTGTCTCACCATGAACAAGTTATTTCTCTCTTTGCCTCAGTTGATTTATCTGTAAAATGGGGATGATAATATTAGTAAGAACCTTGTAGGATTATTATAAAGATACATAGATATAGATTGCTCAGTAGATTACCTGATCTATAGAAGCATAAATTTCAATAATAACCAAATTAAAATTAACAAAAAGCTAAATTATTATATATAAGCATATTTAATCAGAAAAGAATTACTTAAACAATTAGCTAAATATACAGTAGCTTAAGGCACTTTTCAATATTCATTGTACAACATATTTTTATAGGGTAAGGTGGAATATCCATTTACTGGTGTGGGCTACAATGGTGGTTGAAAAAGAACATAGAGAATTGCTTAGAAGAGGGATAGTGTTTTATTCATCTTTAGATATCTATGACTGGTAAATTTATATGGGTACAAGTAATTTCAGAGGGGAAAATAAAGCACATTCCCCACCCCCACCCCCAGAATCAAAGCCTCTCAAATACTCTGCATTTTTTTTTTTTTTTGTACTTTGGGTTCTGGGGTACATGTGCGCATCCTGCATCCTGCAGGATTGTTGCATAGGTACATACATGCTGTGGTGCTTTGCTGTCTCCATCCCCACTTCCCATCACCTACATCAGGCATTTCTCCTGGTGTTATCCCTCCCCATCCTCCCTATTTCCTACTGTCCCTCCCCTACTCTCCCCTCCACCTCCCTCACCTAGCCCTGTGAGTGTTGTTCCCTTCCCTGTGCCCAAATGTTCTCATTGTTCATCACCCGCCTATGAGTGAAAACATTCAGTGTTTGGTTTTCTGTTCTGTGTCAGTTTGCTGAGAATGATGGTTTCTAAATTCATCCATGTCTCTACAAAGGATATGAACTCATCGTTTTTTATGGCTGCATAGCATTCCATGTTGTATATGTGCCACATTTTCTTTGTCCATTCTATCATGGATGAGCATTTGGATTGGTTCCAGGTCTTTGCTATTGTAAATGGCGCCACAACAAACATATGTGTGCATGTGTCTTTATAATAGAATGATTTATAATCCTTTGAGTTTTTTAAAAATATAGTAAAAAAAATTCACATCAGAGAAGTGATAGATGCCACATGTCTCTTTTCAGTTCAGAGGAGAGAGAATTCTATGCATCAATAGTTTTGAAATTCCCAGTTATGCAGTATAAATGATGATTAATCATCTTTTCTTTATTTTTCTTCTAAACAATGTCCAGATTCCTCCAAAGGACCTCAATCGTCTTCAGGTGTAAATGGTAACATGCAGCCTCCGGGTACTGCTGGGCAGCCCCCTGCCTCTGCCATCCCTTCTCCAAGTGCCAGCAAGCCCTGGCGCAGCAAGTCCATGAATGTCAAACACAGCGCCACCTCCACCATGCTGACTGTGAAGCAGTCAAGTCCAGCCACCTCGCCCACACCATCTTCAGACAGACTGAAGCCACCTGTCTCAGAAGGGGTCAAAACTGCTCCCTCAGGACAGAAATCAATGCTTGAGAAATTCAAGCTAGTCAATGCCCGGACTGCTTTACGCCCCCCGCAGCCTCCCAGTTCAGGACCTAGTGATAGTGGGAAGGATGATGATGCCTTTTCTGAATCTGGTGAAATGGAAGGTTTTAACAGTGGCCTGAATAGTGGCAGCTCAACAAATAGCAGTCCCAAAGTGTCACCTAAGTTGGCCCCTCCAAAAGCTGGAAGCAAAAATCTCAGCAATAAAAAGTCTTTGCTACAGCCAAAGGAAAAAGAAGAAAAGAACAGGGACAAAAGTAAAGTTTGCACTGAAAAAACAGTCAAGGAAGAGAAAGATCAGGTGACAGAGATGGCTCCAAAAAAGACCTCCAAAATTGCAAGCTTGATCCCCAAGGGCAGCAAGACGACGGCAGCCAAAAAGGAAAGCTTAATTCCATCTTCCAGTGGGATTCCAAAGCCAGGTTCTAAAGTGCCAACAGCAAAGCAAACCATTTTACCTGGCAGCGCAGCAAGCAAAGAGTCTGAGAAATTCAGGACTACCAAGGGGAGCCCTTCCCAGTCCTTACCTAAGCCTACGACAATGGAGAAAGCAAGTGCATCTAGCTGCCCTGCTCCTTTGGAAGGAAGGGAAGCTGGCCAAGCTTCTGCTTCTGGCTCCTGTTCCGTGTCAGTGGCACAAAGCAGTGGGCAGAGCACAGGAAATGGTGCTGTCCAGCTCCCTCAGCAGCAGCAACACAGCCACCCGAATACTGCGACAGTGGCACCATTCATTTACAGGTAAGGTGGCCTCTGCTGATCCACAGCTGTAAATATATTTACAAGCCTATGTACTCAGAGAGTAATAAGGAAGGCTGGTGTAGTGGCGCTCTATGTTGTCATTTTGGAACAATATTTCATGCTAAAGATAGAGGCCCAGAATTTAATGTGGCATCTTAGTCTGGAAAAAACTTCTAATAGGATCTAGTCTTATTCTCTCTCTCTCATTCTCTCTCAGAAATTGAGACCTTCCAAAATTAAACTACTTGTTTTCAAAAGCCAGGAAGAAACCAGATGCCACAACTTTCTCTTGTGTTTATTCATATTGTTGCTACTATTCTACTGCTTCTGTTACTAGTAGCAGTCTTTTAAAATAATTCTCACTTTTACAGAATTTACAGGTATTTTTGTAAAGCACACTGTAATGGTTAAAGAAGCAGCCTCTGAAATGATAAAGTTGTGGATTTCATTCTAGTTCTGTCACTTTTCAGCTGTAAGACATTAGACAAGTTACTTAACATTCTTTGATCTCATTTTCTTCAGCTATCAAGTAGGAACCAAGAACTACTTTGTAAAGTTGAGATTATTGACAAAGATCATGCATGTAACATGTTTACTGTATATTCTGACATATTATTTATGTTCTTCAAATGTTATTTATAAGGTGTTACTTTCTCAAGGTAAATTTTATATTAATTTCCCACAGCAAGACATAGGTTTCTAGTTAAAGGGGTTACTTATATAATTTGAATATTTGTATTTTACTTATTTGTGTTTATTTTTTACATTTTGTTTATTATTTATTTTACTTTGCAATTTTATTTTGTAGGTGTTGAAATACACAATATGAAAATTTTAAGGTGGGACATGGTGGCTCATGCCTGTAATGACAGCACTTTGGGAGGCTGAGGCAGGTGGATAACGAGGTCAGGAGTTCAAGAACAGCCTGGCCAACATGGTGAAAGCCATCTCTACTAAAAATAAAACAATGAGCCAGTGTAGTGATGGGCACCTGTAATCTCAGCTACTTGGGAGGCTGAGGCAGGGGAATCAGTTGAACTCGAGAGGCAGAGGTTGCAGTGAGCCAAGATTGTTCCATTGCACTCTAGCCTGGGCAACAGTTAGACTGTCTCAAAAAAGAAAAAAATAAATAAATGAATTTTTTTTGCATATTTAAAAATATGCATCCCACTACCCAATCTGTAAAGACAGAGCACTTTGCCTGTTGTTCTGTGATTCATTTTAATTGGTTACAGATCTGTCAGTCACTGTTGTGTCCCCACTTTATTCAGTACCTGGTTGATAAGGAGATGGCCTGAGGAACAATAATGTCTGCTTTGTCCCTCCTTCAGGCAGGCTGTCATTTTAACTACAGAAAGAAATAGGAAGTAGGACCCACTACAATTAAGAAAGGCTCAACATTATATAGTTTTAAATTTTATGAGATTTATTAAATATAAAGGTTTTTTTAAATAAAGCAATTGGTTATACTAATTTATTTTTTCCTTAGTGAAAAACCTAAGTGCTTTTTTTCTGAGGTTTTTATACACTCAGCAAAACAAAATTATTATAATTATTACATTTAAGGTTTTGGGACATTACAATTGAATGTTGCTATTCTGACTTCAGTGGTACTAATTCATTTAAAATATTTGTATTTGGATCAGATGGGAGTCTGCAGCTCCCTCTGACACCAGGGTCATTATCTGACAAAGCAGAATTTAAGATGTCAAAATCATGATCTACATTTCAAAAATGTGAGAAAAAATCATGATGTTTTAAATATGTCATACTCAGCACCCTTGTGGATTTTAAATATATTATGTAAAAACATCAATCATTTCAAAAATCACAAGTGAATTTCATAGGAAAGTGTAAATCTAGAGCTGCTAATTTAGTAAGCTTCTTTCTATAAGTAGCAACAAGCTTTAAAAAAAATTGTTTGCAATAAAATATCCAGTGGATACAAATTTAGTGATTTCCATTTGAAAATATAACTTTTAAGTATCAAAAAGAGGAAGCAGCTCAGCATAACAGCTTAGAAGTTACAGTGTAGATCTGCTGTGTGACCCTGATTGAGTTCTCCACCCTCTTTGAGTTTCTGTTTGACCTCTTTAGCAAGAAGATTATAAAAGTGAGGCAATGTAGCCTCGCTTTTTAAAGTAAAACTGTCTCATAAAATTTCGTATTGTAGTCTATATGTAAAGTAAATAGCTAAGAAAAGAGGTGATAGGGAGGCTAAGGCTGGAGAAGAATTGCTTGAACCCAAGAGGCAGAGGTTGCAGTGAGCCAAGATTGCCCTGTTGCACTCCAGCCTGGGCAACAAGAACAAAACTCTGTCTCAAAAACAAAAACAAAAACAAAAAAACCCAACAAACCAAAAAACAAAAAAATAAAGAAACGAAGCGATAGAATATGTTTTGCTCTACCATTATTCAGAAACAGCATCTTGTGGTGGTTGAGACAATGGTCCCTGGAGTCATGTTGAGTGGGTGGGAATCTCAGTGCCACCACTGATTAGTCGTGTTACTTTGGGTCGTATATTTCAAGATTGTGAACCACCATTTCCTAATCTGTAAAGCAGGTATAATAACAGTAGAAGCTACCTCACTAAGCTGTTTCGAAGATTGAGTTGATATTTATTGCAGAACAGTATGTGCCACATAATAAACAGCCTTCTCTAAATTTTACTTTCTAATCCTATGAAGTATGATTGATAAAGGATACCTACTTTAATTTGTTGTTGTAAAGATTAAAGAAAATAATCCCATGTAAAATTGTTAGCACATAACCAGATTTTGAGTAAATTATATTGTCAGTAATTAATTTTATTATTAACAATATAAGGTAGTTAAAAATAAATAAAACCGTGGCTGGCATGGTGGCTCATGCCTGTAATCCCAGCACTTGGGAAGATGGCTTGGGGCCAGGAGTTTGAGACCAGTCTGTACACCATAGTAAGACACTGTTTCTACAATCAATCAATCAATCAATCAATAATGTAACACTGTCTCATAAAATTTCACATTGTACTCTATATATAAGGTAATATTCATTCAAAGTTTTTAAATTAATGCAGAATAATTTTACAAACACTAATGTAGATCCTCAAAGGGCAGAGTGGGTTATCATTCATTCCTTTCAGTTTTCAGTGAAAGATACTTGTTTATAGAGTCATGACATTTGGATTATGTAACCTTTGATGTCCTTTCTGACTTTCACTGTTCTATCCCCATGTAAGAATCCCTCCTATAAAATCTCTGGCAGTTATTTTTGGAGTTGCTAATCATTTGATGAGACAATATTATGAATTTACTGTTTTATATTGGTATTATCACTTATTGAATGGTTGCTTAGTGAAAGTCTTTGTGTCACAAAATGTATGTGGATTTTCTCATTTAAACTTCATCATCAACTCATAAGAAAGAATATTATCCCCCATTTTCCAAGTAGAGATTTCAAGTCAGAATAGTAATAATCTCTTAAGATCACAAAGCTAGTAGAAATTTGCTTTGCTTATCAGTTCTATCTATGTGAACTGACAGAAATAAGATGTATTGTTACTGGGAAACTTCTGGTTAGGAAAATGCCAATAGTACACTTGCAAAATTCTCAATCGGAACCCATTTATAATTGAAAGTGGTTATTTGCTATTAACTAGTATAAATTATATAAATGTATATATATATGATATGTAAAGTTAATTAAATAACTTTTATATAATGGGAAGATTGATGGCTGATAGTGATTTTTTTTCTCAGCTCAATTCTAGATTAATACTTATTCCTGCTGAGACTCTAATATATGCTTCATAATACTCTTTGTTGTAAACTGAATGTACAGAGTTCTAGACATATAATGTAGATTCTGGAATTTAATAGATTTCATATTAGCCTAACTTCCTATCTAATGCAAATTACTCTATATAAAGTTTCAGTAACTCAATTATCTCTACAGAGTGATAAAGTCATTTTGAATGTGTTGTTATTCTTATTCATTTAACAAATTGATATAACTATGACAAAAAGTTGAGAATATAAGAAAATATTTTATTTCAGTTTAAGAAGTTCCCAATAACTAGAGCTATCTGAAATTGGAATAGGCTGCTTTTTATAGTGTTAAAGTGACCATCAGAAGTACATAAAAAGTGGTAAAGTGACCAATTATTATAGTTTAGGCAAAGAGAAATTACACATACTTTTTCATTTATGTACTCACCACTATTCTACAAATACTGTGTAATAGAAGATACAAAGATTAAAAAAACAATAATCTCTGCCCTCTGGAGCACAATCTACCAAAGACAATAAGAATAATTCCATCAAAAATATAAAACCGTTACTGTTATGGAATTGTATGCAACATAAAGAATTAATGTAAAAAAAAAGAGTGTTGTTTACAAATCTTACAAAATGAAGTTAACTAATGCATCACAAAGAAGCCAAGATATGGGTGAGACATAAATTTTGTCACATGGAGAGAAGAATGTTGTGCTATCATCCAAATTTGATATTCTACAATTTTATAATCCAGGCATGGTGGGAAAAATAATAGGTAAATTGTGAGTTGCTATGCAAATACTGGAACTACTATAGACACTACAAGTTGGGATTTATATGTATGAGAGACTGTATTAGTTCGTTTTCACACTGCTATAAAGAAATACCAAGATTGGATAATTTATAAAGAAAAGAGGTTTAATTGACTCAGTTCTGCATGGCTGAGGAGGCCTCCGGAAGCTAACAATCAAGGTGGAAGGTGAAGGGGAAGCAAGATAAGTCTTACATGGCAGCAGTTGAGAAAGAGGGGTTGGGGGAAACTGCCACACACTTATAAAGCATCCGATCTCGTGAGAACTATCAGGAGAACAGCATGGGGGAAACTGCCTCCATGATCCAGTCACCTCCTACCAGGTCCCTCCCTCTACACGTGGGGAATAAAATCTCATTACAATTCGAAATGAGATTTGTGTAGGGACACAGAGCCAAACCATATCAGAGACTAAAGAAGGAGGGAAAAAA